GTGGTGGAGCAGGGTTGCATAAGGAATGAGGAAGTTGTTCTATGATGCATCAAGGTCCCGGGCTGCTGGGAATGGCCTTGTCCCCAGGATGTGCCCAGAGCCCTCAGTTTGCAGATAATGTAACTGACTAAAAACTGAGCTAATTTGTACTGCTATGTTTCCTCCCTCTCTTTCTCTCTTAGGTTCTTTCTTTCTTTCTTTCTTTCAATATTAAGCACTTACTGTGAGCTGGTACTGTGTGAATCACTGGGAATATAAAATCGATTCGAGTGCGGACCCTATCTCCACCAAGGAGCTAACAGTCTAGTGTGGAAGGCCCTTCCGTGGACCGGTCATTGAATGCAGGCACACATATAGCACCTGAAGAATGTGCCTGATCCAGAGGCGGGAGAGACAGACTGTTCAGGAAACCTTCCCAGAGGTTTCGCTCACAGAGTCACGCTCCTGCTAGGTTGTGAGGATGTACAGAATTTCACCAAGCCTGAGAGCAGTGTGGGGGAAAATAGCACAAGCAAAAGCGCAGAGGGAGACAGCGGGCGAGGCTGGGATGCTTAAGGAAGAGATAGGAAAAATAACCAGCATGCTTGGTGGGCAGAGATTAGTCAGTTCATCAGCTTGCAGTACGTCACGCTAGCAGCTGCAGCTTCCTTCTCTAGCAGCCCACTGCAGCAGGAGTGATCCGATTAGTGTGTTAGAAATAGTGGTGGCATGGAGGATTCATCCAGGGTACCCATGGAAGTGGCTGTGGCATTCCAAGTGGGAAATGAGGGGAGCAGTAGGGCAGGAGAGGAGGGGTGTGGCTGAGAACAATTTAAGAAGTAAAGTCTGCAAGATGTGGTGACTAATTGATTGTGGAGGGTTAGAGAAAGGGAGGAGTTGGGGTGACTCCCAGGTTTTTGGCCGGAACCTCTGGGTGGAGAGTGGTAGAAGCTGGACCAGAACCTGCACTGTTGACTCATACCCAGTGCATTGTATGTGAGGCTTTTTCTAGCCTTTGAACTGTGAAAGAGATAACGTGGCCTGTGTAAAACACCAACTCTGGCCTGAGAAAGAGGTGATGGTTTCCGAGCTGCTCCTCTCAGTAGAAAGCTGGCAAGTCTGTCTTCTGAGAGTAGCAATAGCCTCCTCCTGATTAAGGAGGAGGAGCAGCGCAAGCCGTGCTGCTGGCCGTGCTAAGAAGCCTTTTTCCCCCCTCATGTCTGTTTACTCATGGGAGAAAAGACGTCTAGAAGGGCAAAATACCTGATTCGTGTGGGAGTTTGAGAGAACTCTTGCTCGAGTACTCAGAACTGCTGGCTGTGAGGGAGAACCCCACTGTGGGGGCGGGGACTGCACACAGGCCAAGCCGTGGAGTCCAGCAGAAATCCCGGGAGAGTTTGATCACTAGAGTAAGATTCAATGATTTATTTTTTAAAAAGACCATCTAATCAATCTGTTTACAGTCAAAATTAGACCAGGGTACTGGTGTTCAGAGTTACAAAATAGTGAGAAAATAGCAAATTGCCTTACTATTTTTTTAATTCTTCAGAAAGTTAACTATTTAGTAGTATCAGTCCAAGTTGTTCCAGCATCAATATTTAATTTTATTTTAAAAATTACCTTTGCCAGTAAAAAGTGGGTAGCAGAGAACTTGGTTCAGACTGAAGAGCCCAGCGTAGAGCGCCAACAACAAACCCCAGGAAGCTGTGTAGGAAGCACATCACCCTGCTTTGGGGGAGTTCTTATTCTGGGGTCCCTGGACCCCCACAAAGGGCCCCTGATAGAATTCAGAGGGTCCATGAACTTGGATGGGAGAAAAGTTACATCTTTACTTTGACCAAGTTCTCACGAGTTTAGTTTTCCCTTTATTATGAATGTAGAGTTCAAAACACAATAGTATTAACAATATTTCTCACCATTTGAAATCACAAATCTTTTCATATTATAGTTGTTGCAGATTATATCATCGTTGTTGCAGATATCTGCAAATATCATAATATGCTCATCACCACCATAGCTTTACAGTAGTTACTGGATCCACTGCTATATGACAAGGTCCGATGCCTTAATAAATAAGTGCATGCATTACTATATCACAGTTTTTAAAAATGTTTTGACAACTGTACTTTAATATAATCGGTTTTCTTTTTAACCCTGTGTGTTATATTTTATGTCTTGAAAAACATTATTCTGCGTAGGTTTCATCAACTTCACAGCTGGCCAAAGGGGTCCATGGCACATGAAAGGTTAATAACCCTTGGCTAAGATCATGTAGTTGTGGCATGTGACCTCCACCTGGTGGCAGCATACTCCTAGAAGGTTAAATGTATAATCAACAGTTGTGATGAAACTTCAAAAAAACAGTGTACTTGAGTATGGTTTTCAAACATTTTTTACCACAACCCACAGTGAGAAATACGTTTTACATCTTGACTCAGAACATTCTCAGATAAGTTTCGCAAAACAATAGCTGACCTTACTCTGTGACACACTAGTATTTTCTATTCCATTTCATTCCAATATTCTTTTCGTTTCTTTTATTAAACTAAAATGCTGGTTGTAACACACCAAATTGCAGTTTAGTGGGTCACAGAGCACTCTTTGACATCAGAGGTGACCATCTTTGGTCTTGCCTCATGGTTGACTAGTCAATGAACTTCAATTTGGTCTCCCCCCAAACACACATACTTTCAGAGACATGATTCTTGCATTTTAAACGACTGTCAACAAATATGAATATATCTTTATGTAACATTTGAAATATTGTTTATTATTGATGTATAATTTATATAGGGTGAAATGCACTGATCTTAGGTGTATAGCTCATCAAGGTTAGTATGCTCCTACCACCCCAGAAAGTTCCTTGTGCCACTTCTCAGTCAATACTTCCCCAGGCAATCACTGTTCTGATTTCTTTCACCATAGTTTTTTCTGTTCTAGAACTTTATATAAATGGAATCATGCAGTATTTATCTTTTGGTCTGGCTTCTTTTACTCAGTATAATGTTTCTTAGCCTAATCTGTGTTGAGAGTATTAGTAGTTTGGTGAGTAGCAGTCCATTTTATGAATATACCACAATTGTTTATTCATTCTGTTGATAGACTTTTGGGTTGTTTTCATTTTGGGCTATTTGCTATGAGTTGGGATCCACTCCCCAACAATGGGTATGGTTTTGGTGTATGAATAAAGCTGCTAGGCACATTTGAATGCAAGTCTTTGTATGCATATATGTTTTCATCTCTCTTGGATAAATACCTGGGGGTGGGATTGCTGGGTCAATGGGTAAATAATACGTTTCACTTTATAGGAAACTGCCAAACTGCCAAGGTAGTTGAATCCTGTTACATTTCCATTAGCAATGTATGAGGGTTCAGGTTACTCCATATCCTTGCCAACTTTTGGTGTTGTCAGTCTTTTTAATTTTAATCATTCTGGTGAGTATGTAGTTGTATCTGTTGGTGACTTTACTTTGCATTTTCCTGGTGGCCAATGATGTTTAACACATTTTCATGTGTCATTAGTGTATCTTTTTCAAGAAGTGTCTGTTCAGGCTTCGGTTGTCTGTTTTTTAAATACTGATTTATAGGTGTTTTTTATATATTTTGGATACCAGTCCTTTATGTTATATATATGTACTGTGAATATTTTCTCTCTGTCTATGGCATATACATTCATTATATTAACAGTGATTTTGGGTAAGCAGAGGTTTTTAATTTCAACAAAATCCAACTTAACATTTCTTTTCTTCTATAGTTAGTGTTTTCTGTGTCCCAGCTAAGAAATGTTTTCCTACCCCAAAGTGAAGATAGTTTTGGTTTTTATGTTAGATCTGTAATCCATCTCAGAAAGATAGACAAGAAATAATTTTTTGTTTATGGTGTGAGGTAGATGTCAAGTTTCTCTCTGCCCCCGCCCCCTCTGTAGGTATCTCATGTTCTAAGATCATTTCTTGAAAATACTTTCCTTTATCCATTAAATTATTGCACAGAATTAAAAATAATAATAATAACCCTGTTCCTCCAAAGAGGTACATGCGTGACTTTTCCTTTTCGGCCATAAACTGACCCTCTGGGCCTATTAGACATCTACAACCTGCAGTCTTGGTCTTTTATTGCTTTCTAAACCAATCCATGCACAGTTGTCTTGACTTTCTCAGAAATTACTTTGCTTATAGGGTGTGAGGATTTATGAGGCTACAGCTCTTTACAGGATCTCTAGCTGTGCTATCCAGTACAGTAGTCACCAGCCACATGTGGTTATTTAAATTAAATTTAAACCAATTAAAATGAAACAAAATAAGTTCAGCTTCTCAGTTGCAGTGGTGACATTTTAAGTGCTTACGCGGCTAGTGGCTACTCTATTGAACGTCACTGAGATAGAACACTTCCATTTTTTCAAAAGTGCTGGACAGTGCTGGTCTGTAGAATAAGAACAGAAGTAGGCTTTGCACAGTTTTGTAGCATATTTTAATAAAACTTTCTTTAGTTTCTATAACCATCATCCAGCATCTGCCTTTCTCTCCTTGATTGTTTTTCATTCTTCCTTGCTTCCATTTCCATTCCAAGATGTCCTGTCCACCTAAAAATGCAGTAGCCCCTATCTGCCCTCTCCTACCTAGAAGGAAGAATTCTTCTGGCTGTCCAGGGCATAATTCTTTTCTGGAACCTACCTTGGACTGACCCATTTAATTTTTCTCAGGGGTCAATATGTCTTCCAACTGCCACTGGATGCCTGGGCCTCCCCCTTTGAGGTATGGGCCAGAGATATTTTGTCTTTTTCATCCTGATTAAAATTGTATTTCTCCTTAGCATATGCACTATAAAATCAAACTTGTGGAAAGGAGTAGTAGGTTATGACCAGTAGCACTGTCCCATATTAAGATTTCTGTCCCAGAAAATTATTGAAAAAAAATGAATTACCATTTCGTTGTGAGTGACCACATAGGAATTTGTGAGATTTTCTCTTGTTGTTTGCTGAGCGTGAACCTCACAGACACTGACTCTGCCATTATGTCTTTCAGTGTGGGAACTTTGCTGTCCTGGTGGATCTTCATGTGTCACCTCAAGGTTCAAACAGAGATACCAGCTGGTTTTCTGAAGAGAAGAAAGAGGTACAACAAAACTGTTTTCACCATTTAAATACAAGTAGCTGCTGCTATAAGAAGAGATATTAGCCCTTTCCAGCTTTTCATTTTCACAAAAAGTGGACAAAAATATTATGAGTGGGGATTAACCCTTGAAGAACAGTTATTGTATTCCCAGTGACATACCCCAGATGTACCTCCTCTTGTTTTTCCATTAGAAACAACCACATCCATACATTTCATACACTGCTCTACTATTTAAACCAGAAGTTTCCAACCTTTTTATTTTGGGGGAAGGAGTTCTCTATATTAAAAGAGAGAGAGTGAATGAAAAGACGTTAAAGCGACTGGGTAAGCAGGGATTTTAATATGACTGGTTGCGAAGGACGGAACCGAGCACCTGGAGCAGGTGTACAGGTTAACAGAAGGCTGATCTTCCACACCTGCCTGAAATCCTCCTCTTCTGCACTTTTATCTTCTACCGTCCTTTTATTATCATGAGCCTTTGACAACAAATGAGGAGACATTTGACTGTGTTCCTTCCCTCACTTTGGTCAGTGAGTAAAGCAAATACTCACGTGACAGGAGCTTAATGCTTGACCTCCCTGGGCCTCAGCCTCCTCATCTGCAAACGAAGGGGTTCAACTAGATGCTGTCTCTTCCCACCACTTGTCTGTCAGTTTGTCGTACTGTTGTGGCTTGCGTATTGCTATGATGCTGGAAGGTATGACACTGGTATTTCACATACCAGCAGGGTCATCCATGTTGGACAGGTTTCGGCAAAGCTTCCAGGCCAAGACAGGCTAGTAAAAAACACTTAATGATCTACTTCCAAAAATCCACCAGTGAAAATCTTACGGATCACAATAGAATATTATTTGATGTAGTGCTGGAAGACGAGTCCCCTAGGTTGGAAGGCACTCAGAATACACAATGGTCGCAATAATGGACTCAAGCATACCAACGATTGTGAAAATGGCACCAGACCAGGCCATGTTTTGTTCTGTTGTATGTGGGGTCACCGTGCGTTGGAGCCAACTCTATGGCAACTAACAATAACAGATCACTCCCGGCTCTAAGCTTCAGCGATCCCATCCAGGTGCTGCTGTGTTTGAGTGTTCATAAGGTAGATCGAACTCTCACATGTACTTTACTTCCTTCTCCAGACCCCTGCTTACCAGAGTACAGGGACAGCAAAGCAATGGCTTCTACATAATTTTCATAATGCTATAGCACTTCTTTTCTTCAATAATATTTGTTTGTCACAATAGCTTTTTAGGGCTAGAAATGAAAAATTTTATAAAAAGATGGTGTACAGAGAAGAAACTAGTGATACGGGCTAAGAAAAACTTTCCTGTAATAATTTTTTTCTATCAGTTTTTGGAGATCATTAGGAAAAAAAAAAAAGTCCCCCCAAAAGAAAATTTACAGAGTAATACATTTTCAGTCAGCAGGTAATAATATTATCAGAACTTTGCTCTCATAATTTTGCAAAGGATGCAGGTGGCCCAAAGATGGGAGAAGAAAGACCCAAGATTTGCTATAATGGGACTTACTGAAGCAAGTAAGTGTAGACTGTCGTCTTCAGGATTTAATATTTAGCAGGCCAACATCTCCTACTGCAGCCCACCTCTCTGAGATTTCTAGCTTTAGCTTCCTAACACATGTCCCCATAATTTAGAACGGTTAATTCGTTTCCCCAGTGACTAATATGCACCCGAGGGAAGCTCACCCAAAAAGCCTCTGACTTGACTTATATTATCAGCATCCTAGAATCCACTGTTTCAGACCTGTATTTCCACTCTTTCCCAGCTTTACCACTTGGCCTTATGCCTTTCGTCAGTTGATTTGGGAGGCTTTAAAATAAAGCTATGGGTATGTGAATCACCTCTTACCCTGAGTGTGAAGCCAGGTCTCCAGGGTGCCATACACAGCTGCTTGTCTCCACCTAGTCCCTACTTCAAGGCAATGGCGCATGACTTTGCAAAGATATGAGAGCTGCGCGACAGGACATGGAGAGCTGCCACTGCAGCACGCGGGCAGAGGTGCAGGCCACGCCAGCCCCCTGAGCTTTCCTCTCGAAGCAAAGTCAATCATTCACTGTTTCTATTTTAAGTTGTCCCTTTAAAATGTGTTCACTGGCATTAAGATTGCTCTGGGATAATTTGTGTGCGTGTGCGTGTCAGAAAACAGAAAAGCTAGTCAAGCAAAGGATGTGATTTAGCCTTTGTTCAGTGTCTCAACACTTTCATCTCTTTTATCATTAGATCATCTCCTCACGGTTGGGATTTCATGAGCCACTAATTTGATTGCACTTTAACAGTTACTTTATATAGTGAAAGTCTAAGACTACCCAGTTCCTTCGCAGAAAAAGAAACTGATTACATGTGTTAAATATATGTTTATTTTGAGTCTAGCACAAGTAGTGCTTGTACCCAAACAGCTGAACGCAAACTGTTCCATTGTAAACTTGAAGAAGCGAACATAAGCCCCGTAGCCTGGAGATGCCAAATGCATCTCTCATGCTCGCTTGATGATTTTAACTTGTTCTTCTCATCTGCCCTTCACATTTGGCAGGGAAGTTTTCTTTTTGTGCGTTTCTCAGATTCTGAAGGGACTGCTTTGCTAAGTGGTACAGTAATTGGGGGTATCTCAGCCACATTGTGCATGGTCTACCTGTCATTTGTCAAACTTGACTTTTTGTAGGAAAGCCCCGTAAGTATAGGGAGAAAGTTTATGTATATGGGGCTTTGCTCTATTTTTGTCGTGCTATTTTTAGTTCTAGCCTTATAGGGCATTTATGGCCAAATTTTAGCAATCCTTGTTTCCATGTATGTCTTCCACATATTTTCAAGCTCAGTCATAGTTGAACCCTGCATGTGAAGAAAAAATTCTTTAATTAAAACAACAGTATAAGGCATAGTTGTTTTTCTGTTGTGTGAACAATGCCAAAACACTCAACTGTAAATGGATATCTATCTCTGTATTGCACAGGGCACTGCATCCTTGGACTACAAAAGAGAAGCAGGAGAGAGAACACCAGTGTTAGTGTTTCATCTAGAAATTCACATTTGTGAATTAAATCAAGGGGTTTCTGTACTGTTTGAGGGGTGCAGCCTTTACAATAAAAGAAAAGTTTGGCTGTAATTGCCCTTAGAAGCAGCTTAAAACTTTGTTCCCATTTTAATTTATGAAGATTCTAAGAGATCAGCTTGCGATGGCATTGCAGGAAACCAGTGAAACAGGTTTGAGGTGACCTTGGCAACTCACAGCCTTCTGCAGAGTCTTTGAGAATTGAACCAGAATGATCAGCTCGTAACCTAAATTAAGAAGCATAGATTTTTGTTGCAGCTAACAACAACAACATGTTATGTTGAAACAGAGTCAAAACTATGTGTTTTGTCACCTAACAAATATTAACCGGCTTTAAAGAAATACGAGAAGTGAAATTATTTTTAGCATTAACAGGTAGATATAGTGCAGTTTTTACAAAAGCTACAGGCATATGCAGTATCATCAACAAGGGCATGGAAGAAAATTAGATTGCTGATTTCCAGTTTTCTGTTGAACCCACTGCTCAATGCTATTCCTTCTTCAGTAGGTTAGTAAACCTGCGGTCAGAATGACAGTGTTTAGATTTGTAAAAATTTGAACCAGGTCTGATAAATAAAAATCACTGTTTCTGGCTACTCTTGAAAAATTGGAAGATCTGGCAATACCTTGTCTGTATCTCTACAGGATAGGAGTCCACTGATACCACAGGGAGCTGCCCCCTAGGGACTGGGCTGCCAGCTGCACCCACAGGATGTGAATATGCGTGTAACCTGGCTTCTCCCTTCAACCCCAGCCCCTGCCTGGCCACAGGAGGCATCTCAGTGAGGCCCTTGCTGCCAGCCAGCGTGGCGCTATTTGGCTTCTTTTATTCATCACAATACAACAGCTGCTTGGTATTTATATGAAGATATTCTTTACCTCATTGATTTTATCAGCTCATCATACTGATTTTTACATTGAAGTCCGTGTGGTTTGTTTTTATCCTCCTTTTAGAAATGTGAAACTGAGGCAGAGAGAAGTGAAATGAATTTATCGGATCACAAAGTGAGCCAACATCATGGTTTCAAAGAAACTTTAGTAGCAAATTTAAATGTGTGGTGTTATCCATGAGCTTATATAACATTGCTTTCAACATTCATATCTAAATTAAAAAAACAAATAAAACAAAATGTCCACGAAGGGAAATTTAGCATTAATTAAGGGAAATGGTTGCACAACGTGATTAATGTGGTTGCTATCACTGAGCTATAGACCTGAAAAAAGTTGAACTGACAATGTTGTGTTATATATATTTCTACCCCCTCCCACCACCAAAAAAAAAAAAAAAACCAATCAATTTCAAGTCGGGGAAAAGGAAATGTTAAAAAATAAAATTTAGATATTATCAAAGTTAGTTTGTACACCTGGAAAAAGCTGAACTGGAAAAAGTTGTGTGACAGACATATTTACAACAATGACCAAAAAAAAAAAAAAAGGCAGCTGCTGGTACTGTCTGTGTACAACCAGCCACCTCATAAGATTTATTTTCTTGATTCAGAGGTTTAGGGTCATGGTTTCTTGGGACATTAAAATCAATTGGCCTAATACTGATTTTAGTGCTTCTGTTCTGCCTCCTAGTTCATTGCATAGTCTTTGTGGTTTTAAAAGCTTGCAAGTGGCCATCCAAGGTACACTTGGCCTCTATTCTCCTAGAACAATAGAGGAAGAAGGAGGGTCAAGAATTGGAGGAGGAATTGTAATACGTGTCTAATTGCCTCCATGAACAACTGCCTCCTTTGCTATGAGACCAGAGGAACTGGATGGTGCCTGGCTACCATTACTGAACCTTTTGATCAAAGATCTATAGAAGAATCCTGATCAAAAGGGAGGAAATGTGGAACAGATTTTCAAATTCTCATGGAATCCAGCCTTTCGGACCTATTGAGGCTGGATGACCCCCAGAAAACTATTGCCCTTAGGGAGTCTTTAAACCTTAAACTGAAACTATCCCCTGCAGTAATCTTTAAACTATAGTTTAGCTTAATTAGAAAAGAACGTCTACCTTGAACACTGTATTCTTTTAAAGAATCATCTATATGGATCAAATTTACAACAGCAACTCAAGAGGTTAGGTGAGAAGCTTAGGGGCAGTGAGTTTATGTTAATGATGGTGAAATAATTCGGAAAAAGATATCGAGAAAGTTGGCCACAACTTGAAGAATGTAACCAATGTCATTGAATTGTACATGTAGAAATTGTTGAATTGGTGTATGTTTTGTTGCATATATTTTCACCAAAAAAAAAAGAAGAAAGTTTAATGTTGACTTTTTAACATGTACTATGTTGATTTTTTTGTACTATATTAAATTAGGAGATTACATCCATTTTTTTAATTTACTTTAGGAGGTCTGTTTACTTCTGAAAGAAGCCATTGATTCAAGAGTTAAGGAGTACTTAGAAGTTCGTAAACAGCACAGGCCGTCAAATGCAGAATTCACAAGATCCAGTCCCTTGTCCTTAAAAGGTAGGCACAGAGCACTTCGATTTTTTAGGCAAAGAAAATAAGGTTTCTGCTTTGTAGAGATGGCAATTATGTTTGACTCTGACTGTCATGCAAGTAGAGTGATACATTTAGAAAATATGTTCTAATGAAGAGACTTTATTTTGGTAAAGAAAAGTAATTGAAAAGCTCTGAAGGGCTTTTAATGGTAGGCAAAATATATAAAAATATAAAATGAAACATTCCTAAGGAAACCATAAGTTCTTTAAAGGCTTTTTTGTTTGTTTGTTTGTTTGATTTTGACAAATATCCTTACAAGAGAATAATATTAATACTGACTTAAATTGATTTGAGACTTTATACTTTTTAAAATGCTTTCACATCTATCACCCTATTTCAGTAATTCTCAACCGGGAATGTCCCCTGTCGCCCCCCCCCCCCTCCCCGGGACATCTGTCGATGTCTGGAGACAGTTCTGGTTGTCACATCTGGCAGGAGAGATTCTTCTGGCATCTAGCAGGTGGAGGGCAGGTATGCTGCTGCCCATCCTGCAGTGCACGGGACAACCCTCACAGCAAAGAATTATCCAGAGCGAAACATTTAGAGAACCAAGATTGAGAAATCCTACCCAGTTTCCTAATTACACTTTGAGAGTGGCAATTCCTCTGATTTATGGGTGAAGAAACTAAAGGTCTGCAAGATTAAGTGGCTTGCCCAAATAAAAGGTAGTCTTCTTGAGGACAGAGATTTGGTCATCTTCACCTCTCATGCCCCCTTCCCCATGCTCAGCCCAGTGCCTGATACACAGAATCAGTGATATGTTGAATAAAATGGTACTTGGGTGACAAGTGGCAGAACCTGAACCTAGACCCAGCTCTTGTATTCTTTCCACTCTGTTATTGTTGTGTTTTTAATTTTTTTTTTTACTTTGAATCCACATTTTATAGTACTACTTATGGTACAAATAGGGTTCAGCCCCATAGGAATCCTCAGAGAATGATGACTGGACTACTGTGAAGCAGATCATGCCAATGCAGTGTGGGATTGTTCACCTCTCTAGGAAGAAAATTATGTTAATACCCCCCTTTGAAGGTACAGAGTCCCTGGGTGACGGCAAACCATTAACATGCTCAATTGCTAATCAGAAAGTTGGAGGTTTGAGTCTACCTAGAGGTGTCTTGGAAGAAAGACCTGGCAGTCTACTTCTGAAAAATCAACCATTGAAAACCCTGTAGGGCACAGTTCTACTCTGCAACACGTGAGAACACCAGCTAGTACTGGTTTTGAAGATGTACTTGATTCAAAGCATTCACCCCAGCACAGCTGATAAATGGGCAGAATAATTTTACCCAACCTGAAAATCTTGAACAAATGCAAGTTTGAGTCCAGACAATACTGTGTTAAGTGATGCTTTTTGGTTTTCAGCTCAATTAAAAAAAAAAAAAAAAACTCATTGCCGTCGAGTCAATTCCGACTAATAGCCACCTTGTAGGACAGAGTAGAACTGCCCCATGAGGTTTCCAGGGAGCAGCTGGTGGATTTGAACTGCCGACCTTTTGGTTAGCAGCCAGACTCTTAACCACTGTGCCACCAGGGTTTCCTTTAGCTCAGTAGTACTGTAAACCTTGAGAAAAGCCAAAAGAGCTTGCACCCCCTGTACCTCAGCACTTCTGGCTTGTCTCATTTTCTAACCTGGAAAAAATGAAACGGAATGGAGCAAAGTTTCAAGACCTCCACTACTGGTGTGGCAGGTACTGTACATCAGCTTGGTTAGTACCTGTTCTCAACCACCCCTTCCCTTGCCTTGTTCTACTAGTGAGCGAAGAAAGCTAACTCCTCCATTTCCCACCCTCTCTTACAACTAGGGAACACAGTTCTGTACTGAGGATGGAAATGAAAGCTTTTCTTGAGTTCCTGAGGAAGTTTGTTTATTTTTAAACAGAAAATTTTTAACCTGTTTTTTCTACTTCATATATTATAGAAGTCCTTCCACACACACATATTACTATTTTTAATGACTACATAGTGTTCCATTAAATGTCTGTACTCATTTGTTGATGGGACATGTAGGTTGCAGCTAAGATTTTCACTGTTGTAAACAATGGTGTAATGAACATCCTGATAATGTACTTATTTGCACACTTCAATTTCTTTATAATATTTCTAGTTTAACGTTCGTATTATTATTGGTTTGTAAAAACTCTGTAAGGGTATGAATGCTTTGTATGTTATCTATGTTGCAAATGATTTTTCTCAGTTTGTCTTTTGCCTTTGCCTCTGACTGGCTACAAAGAAGGAGAGAGCCCCTCTTTGCCTGATGGTGCCTCCAGTGACCACTGGTGGGATGAAAGCTGGGGTTCCTTGTAGTAAGATGAGTAGTGTGGTGAAGTGCCAGAGGGGTGCATGATGCAATGTAACGTGTTTTTCACACTTTAGAAGAAGGTTGTGCTATAAATCCCACTTCCAAAGTAAACTTGGTGTGAGAGCACTATCTTCTCTTTCTTTGCATTGCAAACAGTAACCTCTAACTGACCATGCCTTCTGATACTCATACCTTATCTAGACACCTGCAACAGCCTCTGAGCTGGCTCCCTTGCATCTGCTCTGGTTAACGCCCCACCTCCTTCAGTTAGCACGATCCCTTAACGTCACAGGTTTGATGACAGGTCCACCTCTGCCTGAAGCCCTTCAACATCTCCCCAAGGCTCCCAGGATGAAGGCCAAGATCCTTGGGGTAGCTGCCTTTCCAGCTTCGTCTTGTACCACTTTTTCCTTCTTTCTTGCTCCAGCCGCAGCAGACTTAATTCATGTCTTCCAAAGCTCCATTCTTCTGCTCATCTCAGGGCTAGTCCTTTCTTTTCCCTATGCATCCTTCAGCTCTCTGCTCACAGTCCACACTGTTGGGAAGCTTATTCTGTTGAGAGGTCCCCTTGTTACAGGCCGAGGAGCATTCTGAACTTCATTCACGCTGTTTGGTTAACATCTCTCTCCACAAATGTGTAAACCTCCCGAGAAGTAGTTCTGTCCCTTTTGCTCTCTGTTTTATCTTCAGGAGGTAGCACAGTTCCTGGCATGCAGTAGGTACCTAACAAATATTTGTATAGGTGATAAATTTCACCAGTGGTTATGTGTTTCTGTTCTTAGTAAGGTCAAGGCCTATCATATCTTACCTGTCCTGCCTTGTTCCTCCTGGTACTGAACTTCCTATTTCCCACAAACCTGTGTTCTTTATACCTCTATGCCTTTACGTTTACAAGTTTCTCCTCTGCCTGGCAAATGCCTATTTAACCTTCAAAAACCAACTCAAATATTACTTCTCTGAAGTCTTCCTCAGTTTCCCCTCCTTTGTGCTCCCACATTACTTGGCACTTACCGCTTTTACAACATTTGTCACCTTGTATTGTATTATAATCAGTTTACTGGCCTTTCCCCCTCACCTTTGGTGGCAAAGATTGACTCTCCGCCAGCCCCCGAGTTTCGTTTCTTCTCCAAATTACCTTGCTGCTTAACTTTAGAGTATAAGCAAATAACTGTGCTCCTGGTTATAATTGTTTAACCTCGGTCCAAACTGTTCATTTCCAAGAAGTAGGGGCATTGTTCATCCATCTCTGCCACAAGATTGCTTTTCACAAATGACCAAGGTTCATCACGTTCTAGGCCATGCACACCCACAAGGTTGAAAAGGACACACAGAATGATACAGCACCACTTTATACTGTTTGTTAACAGCATTACTAAACGTGGAAACTGAACGCGCGCTTTTGCCCTTTCCCCAGTGCCAAAGACAACTCTCTAGATGTTTATCTAACTGCCCGTTCTCAGCTGCTCCCATAATCTTACTTACAAGCCTTTTTCAAAAGCAATTTCAAAGCCACTAACCACAAGGCAGGAGCCCCAGTGGTGCAATGGTTAAGCGCTCGACTGCTAACCAGGTCAGCGGTTCAAACCCACCAGCTGCTCCATGGTAGAAAGATGTGGTAGTCTGCATCTGTAAAGATTTAGAGCCTTGGAAACCCTATGGGGTAGTTCTGTTCTGTCCTATAGGGTCTCTCTGAGTGGGAATCGACTTGATGGCAGTGAGGTAACCATCTGGCCAGGACTTCAGTTTTGCTTCTCATGTTCCCTGAAAATAGAAAGAGTTGTTGTTACTGCATGGGTAGCTTCATATGTTTGAATGAGAGTGGTTTATGCTTTTGTATAAATTGGATATCTTCTCTCATTTGCATGAGTTTCTTACCTTTTTCTATTTTCAGAGCCACATAACAGTAATGAGCCTCAGCATGATATGTGTGCTTAATATATAATTCTGGATAAGCCGAAGTCTCTAGACAGGTCACTTTGTTGATTGCTGTAATAATATTAATATTTTTGCACTCTGATTTTTCTTTATGAAAAATAACAAATGACTTTGAGGCTGTTTCCTTAGTCATATAATATAAAGGAGTACAAAGAGTATTCACAGAGTCAGTCAGTGAACAGCATAGCCCCGGCATTTGCCAATAGCTTCATCCTTATTTGGAAGTACCTGAAATCTTATTTCAGTAGATTCATTAAAATTTAGTGTTGTAAAAAGACTTAACCATGAATTCTTGTCAATTCTACCTCATTAATATTTTTCCCCTTAGCCTTGCCATCGTTGGGTGTTGCCAGTGTTTTTAATTTTTGCCAGTCTGACAGGCCAAAAATCAAAGGAGATACCATATTGTTTGATTTTTATTTATTTTTCTGCTCTTACATGTTTATTGATGACTTATACTCCTTGTTAGCTGAACTGCATATTCACAGCCATTGCTCACACTTTGTATTGAGTTGTTTGCCTTTTTCTTCTTTTTTTTTTCTTGTTCCCATTGTCATTCTCTTATTAGAGACTGTCCTTAATCAGCTCTTGAATTAGTGCCATAGCCTCCTGATTTTCCTTCCAATTTATCCACACCTCTGCTGCCCAAGTGACCTACTAAAAGCAAAAATTTTATAGGTTCCACAGGACCCATACCTCACACCGTATACAAAAACTACTTCAAAAT